TGACCCCGTACCTCTAGGTCCTGCTGATGCTCCGAGATCCCCCACAGTTTAGACTAGGACTGCAGTTTCTATGAGTGGAGCTCATGAGAATATCGGCTGGAGATTACTTGTGGATTGTTTTTACATACAGAGTATATAATTGCCCTTCGTTTCCCCCGTAAGGAGGGGACACCCCCCAAAATTATATATTTATTTAATTATATATTTATTTATTTCACTGTTTCCGGTACACCAGAGGTCTTATTTTTCTTGATTTACCTGAGAAGTATCCTTGTGTTAGATCTATCCAATCCAAAGGCCGTGTAGATTTCCGATTTTTTTCCTGTTTTTTTGGGGGGGGCGATTGGTTGACATGAGACTTTTTGGTCATTTTCAGTTTTACGTAAATGTATTTATTTATTTATTCGAAAAGTCAAAAGTCGGAAATCTACACGGCCTTAGAATTCCGATGCGCTAGCGAAAGCAGCATATCGCGTTTGAATCGCACGAAAAGTACGACAGTTCTGATGTACCGAAGCTTATGTAAACAGTCCGGAGAAATACCGCTGGTAATGCTGCGTTCGGAACTGCTCGTCTATCTCGTCCAGACTACTTGTCCAGGACCAGCAGGACGAGATGCGCCGCGTTCGGAACCTCCAAGACCCTTTCTGCCCAGAATGCAACCGGCTCGAATGTAAACATTCACTTTCTTATCATACCGGTGTCTTTATTTTACACGCTGCATAGGTTTTGTAATTCCTTTGATGCACATTTAACTAACCTGAACAACCTGATGCACATTTAACTAAACTAAACAAAAATATCCTTTGATAACACCAATTAAGGGTCTTAAAATTACCCACCAATATCTTGTGGTTACCTGCAACTGTCAGTGTTTACATACAAAATCTATTGTGACGTCATCTCGTCCTGCTCGGCCACCTTCGCAGGAGGGCGAGTAGGACGAGATAGACTACTTGTCCGGGACGAGATAGTGGAGGTTCCGAACGGTCAAAACATCTCGTCAAACTGGTCTGGACGAGGTAGACGAGTAGTTCCGAACGCACCATTGCCGAAGTTCGTTTTCTCTGTGATTATCGCTAAATCTAATGATGTTATATTTATATATATATATAAAAAAAACTCATTTTTAGTGTACTTAGCGATGCGATGATTATCAAGTCAATCGGAATGATAATTTTCAATAGGGACGATATTCTGTAAAGGTAGGTCTCATTTTGTTTGTTTTTAGTCTTTGGATATAAAAATAGATATTTCTGTCTGAAAAATTTAAATGCATTAAACCATAGAGACAGCTAGTAGCTAGTGTAAACCAGATAAAACTTTTTAAAATTCGATTTTGAAGAAATGGAGAATGTGGATGGCAAAATCAGTACAGAATCATCCTAGTTATAAAGTCCTAGCATGAATACAACATGGCTGTTCAATTTTGAGGATTTTAAAAGCATATGTATAAAGTACTTCGAATTCGAGACTAAACGAAGAA